CTCAAACTCCTCAAGGTTCTCAAGTGAAGCAAGAACTGGCATTCATACTGTGGTTTGTGATTTCTTGGATACAATCTTACCAGGAGGAATCAACAATTGGGTATTGTGCAACTTCACTTCCTTGATATTAGGTTCCAATTCAGGGTTCTAACTCAGAGCGTCAGCCAAACCATTCTCATACTCTTTGTAAACTCATATGAGAACACAAATTTGGCAAGGGTCTCATGCCAGAAGGTTTGCCGTGGAGTCAAAACATGCGGAGCATGGTAGTACATAAGGGCATTTTGAACTGTACAAAAGCGGAATAGCTTGAAGGAACCATGTAAATGATGACGCCAATAGTCAGTGCTCTTATCACTGCCAATAATTCTTTGTCATAAACAGCGTAATTTAACTCAGGCAAGGACATTTTATTGGAAATGTATCCTACAGGATTCTCAACTCCATCATTGCTCACTTGTAACAGAGCTGCAGCGATGGCAAAGTAGAGGTATCACTAACCACTATAAACTCCATATGGAACCAAGTGGTGAAGTTTTTGAATTAAAAAAAGTGCATTTATAGCTTGAAAAACATCCTCCAGTACAGAGAATTACTGAAGAGTTTTTGCCCAGCTGGATTTATACAAGGATGCTACTATCTTTAAAAATTTGGTTCAAACTCATTAAATTGGTACAAGTTCACAAAAAGGCTCTCATTTCTTTGACTGTATTCGCGTGGGCCAATTCTGAATAGCCTTCTCATTGTATGGAGTGATCATGTGTGTTTTTATAAAATATGATGCTGCCAAAAAAAGGTTACTTTGGCATAAAAAGCTCACACTTGCTTTTCTTCAGCATCAAATTCGCCTTCAAATGTTCAACTGTCTGCTGAAGATAAACCTCATGGGATGCTTGATTGAGGAAGAACACCAAAATATCATCTATGTAGGCCACAGAACATAACCCTAACAACTCACCTAAGGCTATATCAATACAGCATTGTAAAATTGCAGGCACATTTTTGAGCCCAAAAGGCATGACCCTGAATTAGAAACCCCTTTCTGGTATAGAATGCAGTGAGCCATTCCTGCCCCTTTTTAATGCATATTTTGTAAAAGCGTTCAAGGAATACAGCATGGAGAAGACTTTAGCTTTTTCAACATAGCGGGCAATTTGTACCTCCAGAGGAATGGGATGTAGATTGAGTATGGTCACATTCTTCAAGTTACCATAATCTATGCAAGGGCGTAGTGTACCATTTGCTTTTCCCATAAAGGGCAATGAGGAGCATATTGGAGAAGTACATTGAAAAATGGCTCCCTTGGCAAGTTGCTCTGTAACTAAAATATTAATGCTGCCTCTTCCCACAGTCAAAGTTCAAGGCCCTTGGTTTCAACTATCAGGTTGTACAGGGTTATACATCCCTTTAGGACCAAAAAGAGTTCAAACCCCAAGATCTTGCCCCTCACCCAAATCTCAGTCCTAGGACACACACTGGATGAGAGATGGGTGGCCACCGTTTCTCCTGTTTTTCTAAAGCTTTCCCAATTTGCACCCCTCATCCCAAAACCATAGAAGTGTCAAAATTTACAGCTTTTTTGAAAAATCAAACAACTTAGTGCAGATTTTATGAATTACAAGATCACCACATTGGTTCCTATTGCCTTTCCTCAACAAGGGACTCAACCAGAAGTTAATTTGAGTGGAGATGACTTATCTAGTAAGCCAAAAATTAAGCAAAAAGTCAACAAAAAGTCCAAAGATAGGGACCTAACCCAACACTCCATTATGAACTTGAGAAAGAGAATTTGGGCATACAGAGTAGGGAAAATGGCCCCATATTGGCTCAGAACCATTGGCTGATACTGTCAAAGCAATTTGGGGATTAAAGCTATTAATTGATGGATACAAAATTGGAAATTGATCCCCACTATTGTGATTCAGCTTAGCAGCCTCCCTCTCCCACCAAGCTTAAAAACCAGTACCCTATCTATTATATATTTCGAATTATTGTTTTATTTTTCCCTAATAAAACATATCCCTAAAAGTTCTTGTTTTTACCTACTTTGTCCAAATGTATATTAAAATCCAAGGTTTTGTTAAAGTATACACCATCCAAGGGTCTCAATTAATGGCCTCAATGATAGAGTAACCCTTAGTTCTAGTACAAATCTAACTGTTGGAAGCTGAAACACCCCATTGACAAAAACTCCTCCCCAATCTCTCTCACCAATTCTGATGGTGCACATCTGAGTAATCTGCTCCTACTGTTGTGACTGCTAAAGCAGCAGCATTCAAAAGCCAGATCTCTTCTGGAACGTTGCCATCTTAACATAAAGGGTAAATTGGGGAAGAGATGCAAACCAGGTCAACTGTGAGCTAATGATCACAATTAAACTCTGAGTGATCAGGTAAGACATTTTCTGAAGCTGCATCAAGTGAAGACTTGAGATCCTCCAAATAGGAGGGTAGGGGTGCTTCAGGAGTGGACTCCAGCAGAGGTGCAAGATTAAGCTTATGAACATTGGGTCACTAGAGCAAGTTGCCCAGAGTGCTAAAATATGACATGGGGAGCATTACTATATGACTATTCCTAAGGATAAAGTTAAGTATTAGCCTTCATTTTGGTTTTGACATCAAACTTTTGCCACCAACCTACTCCCAATACAATTGGGTACATAAGGTTTTTGACTGCCTAGAAATGGTCAGCTAAATGGAAAACACCAACCTGATAAACAACCAACCCCTGAAGCTTAAAGGTAGGAATAACCTAGGAGGCCCCATCCCTAATCATACCACCTGGTAAGTAGCTTAACCAAGGTAGTCAGTTAGTTCCAAGTCAATAAAGTTATCTGAGGCCCAGTACCCACTAAAATCATTGTCCTAAACTTCACTGACAGGGAAGAAAGAGTAGCAGAAAGCAAAAAATACCACAAATATTTTTTACATAATGTAGATAATACTGCCACTTTTAAGGGGGGATTTACCTCAGAAATTATAACGCCACCAGGATATGTTTTCATGTCAAAGAAGGGAGTGAGTTAGTATGCCACTCTTATGACAGAAGAGACATATCCATCAGCACCTTTTGAAAAGGCACACCAGTTGCCATAATCTTTTATTAAATATCCTCCACCTCCTGAGTGCAGCAAATCATGTTAAGGATCTGCTGAGGATTCTCAGGGGTAATATGGTACACAGAATAGGTTTTTAAACAACCCTCACAAGAGAATTATAAAAACTCATTTGTATATACATATTTTCTGTTAAAAATGGCAGTTTTGGGTTGCAAAGGCACCAACCCAATTTGCTATTCATTGTATATCGTTATTTATTACCAAAACGCCCAAACCCCAGTCCACAGAGTAACCACATTATCCCATGGAATGGAGGTCCAAAACAGAAAACTCATCCAGTGATTATGAACTGAAAACTTCAGGGCTAGACCCCTTATGAACCTTGAGTTTTTCTGAGGACAAAAGCGTAGCTCCTGAAAGTTACACATTTTTTAAAGAAAACTTGGCCTTCTGAGGGCGGTATTTATAGGTGTGGCTGTGGGTGAAACACCCCCAGCTAATGACTGAAACATTTGATTACACCATGGGGGCTAGACCCCTGCTGGACCTCAAATTTCCCCAAGGGCAAAGGCATGGCGCTAGAAGATACCGTCATATGCAAGGATAATAAGGCTCCTTGAGGCTGGTATTTATAGTTGTAGTCATGGGTGAAACAACCATGGCAAAACTTCTGAAATATTTAGTTAAAATCTCAGGTGGAAGATCCTGTCTACCCTCCAATACTTTCCAAAGAAAAAGAAATGGAAGCCAAAGAAGCCTAACTTTGCAAAAGAAATTTTCTGTTCCCAAAGGCAGTATTTATAAGGCTCCACCAGTGAAAAAAACCCAACAAAATGGCTGAAACATTTAATTAAATCAAGGGGCTAGACCTCTGCAAACCTAGAGTTTCCCTGAGGGTGAAGGAGTGGCACTAGGGGACCATCTAGTACTAAAAAAAAAAAAAAAAAAGGAGTGGCACGCCATTTGCAAAAAGAGAATTTTAGCTTCCTGAGGCTAGTATTTATAGGGTTAGTTGTGGTTAAAACAACCACAGTGAAATTTCTGAAACATTTAATTAAAACCTTATGTGGAAGATCCTGTCTACCCTTCAGTGCTCCCAAAAAAAAGAAATAAAAGCCAATAAAGCTCCCTTTTCAAAAAGTTCATGTTCCCAAAGGTAGTATTTATAGGGGTTCCAGCCAGCGAAACAACCCTGGTGAAACATATAAATTATTTAATTAGGCTGTGGGAGCTAGACTCCTGCAAACCTCAAGTTCCCCTGTGGGTGAAGGCATGGCACTAGAATATGCCAATATTTTCAAAAGAGAATTAGGCTCTCTGAGGCTGGTATATAGGGATAGTCACAGGTGAAACAATTGCATCAAAACTTCTGAAACATCAAATCAAAACCTCAGTTGAAAGACCCTGTCTACCCTCCAGTGATCCTGAAAAGAAAGAAATGGAAGCTAATGAAGCCTCCCATTGCATAAGGGAATTTATGTTCCCAAAGATGGTTCTTTTAGGGGTTCCAGCTGGTGAAACATGCACAGCTAAATTAATGAACCCCTTCAGTTGAGCAGGAAATTTACCAAGAAGTGAGCCAATCATAGGATCAGAGAAGGCAAGTGGAGAATGACATACCCAATTGTCCACTGATGGGCTCATTACACTTCTTGTTAAAAATGACATTGTGAAGATGTCAAGACAAAATAGGACCTGAACCCAACCAAAAGATTTATATAAACAAACCTCCCAAAGGAGTCCAAACTGACTAGGTACACAGAACCCAGGGAAGGTTTGAAAAGAATGTAACATGGGTTGACTCACCTCCAGAAGGAGTTCCAAACCTTCTATTGCCCAGTCAAAAGCACTGGGGAAACCCTGAATAAACCCTTCAATGACCTGAGTGGCAAAATGAGGATGGTTTTTAATAAATATGATAGGAGTTGTTGAAAAAACTGAAGCTCAGGTAGCTCAATTAGCAGAGCATGAGACTCTCAATCTCAAGGTTATGGGTTATACCCCCACATTGGGCTTCAGTTAATTTTGAGACCAATAAGTAAGGTCTCATGGTCCTCTTATCTTGTATAGAGTAGTTATTCTAATTAATTTAAATTCAACTAATTAAAGCAACAATCAGCTCACACTTACAGCAGTTTGCCAACCTGCAAATGGCTGCTACCCCCCCCCCCAATTAGTTGTCACTAGATCTGTCATGATGGTGGTGCAGGAAATTTTACCTCCCAAAAATCCTTCTAATTTTCCCCTCATCACTAAGACTGAAATCCTTGACCTTCACAAGGTTAATGCATCACTCCACAAAGTAACCACACAAGCCAATACTACCACAAAACCAGAAATACCTGCTCCAATGTTGGCACCTTTGCCTCATTCCCTGACATCCACCTTCAAGCTGAACTCTATCCTGTTGAATTCACCAAAACTGTATTGATGTCCCAGATCTCCCTGAAACCTCCTGTGCTTGACCCCCAACCTGCAGATGCCCCCATGCCATTGCTCTCTGCCTTGTGCTGCCAAATTTGTCCTGATGATTCTACTAATGAAGAGCTAACCAATCCCCCCTCCCCTTCCACCATGGTAGGTTAGCGGTTCTCCGCTCCCTGCCTGGTCAATATATTTTTTTATTTTCTTTCACTCCGTTTTGTTTGCATTATCTTTTTTTAGTTTGAGTTGGTTTAAAATTTTCTATTTTTTGCTCTTTGAGCCTTCAGTAATGTCTGTCCCTGGGCAGCTTACCCTAAATAGACAGACTAGTTTTAATTAATTAATCTAATCATTTTTATCGGTTCAATATAATACTAACCCTACTGATCATCTATTTGGATCATTTGATTAGTCCAATGATCTTGAGTATGAAGCTGGTATTCATTTTTAAAATAGTTTTTTGAGGCAAGCAACCAGGGGATGGACAATACTGAAGGGCTCAAAGAGTACAAATTAAAATAAAAAGAAATTTTGAACCAAAACAAAATAAAAAATACCAAATGGAACAAAACAAAAATAAAATCACTTACCAGGCAAGAAGTGAATTTTGCTATCATACCATGGCATATGGTGAAGGCGGTTGAGAGGAACTTTGGCCACATCTCAAAACTTTGCCAAGTTTTGGCACATAGCTGAGAGTAAGGATACGGGAGCATCCGTGGGGTGGGGGTTTCGTGGGTTGCAAGGGAGGGAAAGTGATTAGCTAAGCCAACAACATCACTTTGTAATAATCAACAACATCTTCAGCTTGGATGCAGGCATCCTGAAGCGAGGAGAATGTGTCAAACTTTGCTGGGTGATTTTAGTGCGTGGGCCAAATTTAGCCATTGTAACAATAGCCAAGATAGTTTTTAGGGCTTTCTTGTTCAGGGTGATGGTTTCATAATTGGAAGTAAGAGGGAAGCTGGAAGGGAATTCAGAGGGAGGCAGACCAACTGACAGCACTTAGATTGACATAGCGACAGGCTTTTAGAGGGGGCAACATTCAGAAGAAGCAACTGCATCTTCTGCAAGCTGGCGGTCACTTCGGAAAAGTTCATATTTGTTTTCAGTGCATAGTGGTGAGGGGGAAATTGGGCATCAAATTTCAATTGAAATATTGTTCAAATTGGGGAGGGGCGGCAGAAAGAGAGACAGGATCACCCTAATCAGTGACCTTATCAGGTTGTTATTTATCTTAATTAGCTTTAACCTTAATTAAGTAAGTAGTAAATTAATTTAGTTGATAGATGATAGTTGAATTGAATAGCTAAACTTCATTTCATACTAAACTTACCAATATCTATCAGCTGAAGCCATTGAACCTATTGAAAACCAGATAAAAATAACTGCAAAACGCTTGTTAAAACCAAAGAACTAATTAATTTAAATTTTATTCAACCGCCTATCTAAAAGCATTGAATATGTCGCTTTATTTTTTTATTCAAGGTAAGCTGGCCAGGAGATAGACTACCGAATACTCAATGAGCAAAAATAAAATAAAAATCCTAACAAAATGAACCGAAACTCCAAAATTAGCAGATCAAAACAAACGTAACAAAACAAAAAAAACATAACCAACCAGGTGAGACAGCAAAGAATCGCTTATCCGACCATGGCGGAAGGGGAGGGGGGATCAGGTGGCTCTTTGTTAGTAGAGGCATCTGGACAGAGTTGGTGGCACAAGGCGGAAAGCAAAGGCGTGGGCATCAGTGGGGTGGGGGTTAAGCACTGGAGGTCTCAGGTAGAGCTGGGACGTTAAGACAGGATTTGGCAAACTCAGATCATGTTCAGCTTGAAGATGGGTGTCGAGGAAAGGAGCAGAGGCCTAAACATTGCCACGGGTGATTCTGTAGCTGGTGGTAAACTTTTCTCGTGTAGTCACTTTGCAAAGAGATGTGGTAACCTTCCTATCGCTTTAATTTAACCAAATCAAAGTAAAATAACCACTTAACACTTTCCAAAGATATTATTATTAACTAAATCAGCCAAAAAGCCTTCTAAACTGCTCAGCCAAAAAAGAAAAGTATATCAATTCTAATTAAAATAATTATCATTTTTTTATCTGATATAATAAGTTTTATGTTATAAAGGGAGATACCTGGTATTGCTCGGGTTTATTTATGAGCTCACACTGACGCCTAAAGGCTGTGCGAGCGCTATGCTTGAGCCACTCGGACTAACAGCTTTGCTGTTGCCCACATGGCTAATTAGCTGATTATTCTAACTTTACTTAATCTGCTTAAAACTCAAATTGATTTTTGTTTAGTTTCGGGTGGGCAAATTGGTGAATTATGAGATAATATTTGCCAATTCTTAACCACTCGCCCAAATAGATTGAACCTATAAGGATTGATAGTTTCAGATTTGATATTATTCAGCAATTCTCACCCACTCACCCAAATAGATAGACCTATCAGACTTAAAGGTTTCAGATCTTAGTCAGTATGTCAGTGAATATATTTTTAGATGATTTGATTATATTAGCTGAATTGATTCAAATCAATTTTAATTACTACTCAGAAACCCCACAACGAAACTCATTGCCTCTTATATCTTATAACTTATGAAACTAATAAATCTTAACATGTAGGCTTTAGATTTAAACCTATAAATCTAATTCCACCCCAATTTGCTAATTATTTTGATATCAAGAAACCTATCTTTATAAACTTGTTCAGGAAATACAAGCAAAGATTATAATATAATTCCTAATTCTAGGCCTGAAGCTCTAACCCCTAATAAACTTCTATCAAAGGAGTTTTTTGATCAACTTAATTCCTTATATGCCTATCTTCACTGAAGTTGCCTCAAGTTAACCAATTGAAGCCTATCTATATATAAAAATGAATGTCTGTATATATATATGTCCCAAATGCATTCCTATACCATTCATCCAATTGTGATGAAACTTTGGTGAGTTGTCATGTGCATGCCTGAAAAGGTTTATGAATTTTAAAGAATATTATTTTAATAGTAAAATAAAAAGTTTTATGTGTAACAAGTGAAAATCCTATATATACTTTGATGGTATTCACTATATTGTTATAACTGAGCAGTTTAAAATTGTTTGATTTGATATTTTATATGGTTTTAAGTGGTTAGTGGTCATTTAGCTAATTAGTAAGTTAATTTAAATCAAGACTTTGAATCTAAAGTCCAATTGATTTTAAAATACCTCCTCTAGCATAATCAGCTCAAAAACTCTCTCTCACAAATATCACTTTTTATAACAAAAAGTGAATTGAATAGACCATCTAGTACTAAAAAAAGTGAATTGAACAAGAATTGAGAGAGCAATCAACTGCCATAATGCACTGCAATTTTATAGAGCAGTGAACAAAGGCCAACCAACCAAGCATAGGGAAGTCTAGCCGCCTGTCTGTGCACAGCACATAGAAATGGATGACTTGCCTGCACCGATTAGTGAGTTT